GAATTAAATTCGAACATAAAATTCGAATATTGGTTCGATTATAGAACGATTATAAACGTTCCAGAAACGTTGAAAAGAGTTCGTTTGACTGGACGTGAACAGGAGACGTTCAGAAATAGAATCGGGACCAGGTCTCTAATTAGTCTGGAAACGGGGGACCTAATTCTTGCATTCTGTGAAAATGGGTAAGATTGGCTATAATATAATTATCTTAATCTTCACTATCGTTACTTTTTGCCCAGCGAAGCGGGTCCTTGCAGCTACATTCTAGATTACTTAGAAAAACAGTCTTTTATGTATAAAATAAAACTATATTACATACAAATAAAAACCCAGCCAAGCGGGTCCTTGCAGCTAGTAAATAATACTTATTTTAATTGTTTAGTTTCTGATTAGCAAAGAGAGAAAGTCTTAGTAAAAAGGTAAAACAAAACAACTTTCTTTTCACATGGTTAAAATAGAGATACTTGGTTTCAAAATTAAAATAACGTTTTACCTCAAATGTAAATGGTCTAAAAATAGTTTCCCAATTTGGCTTCGATTTCCGTTGTTTAATTACGAATTTTATAGGCAGCACCCGAATAATTGAAGTATAATCAATCAAATGAAAGACGTCTATACTCATATATTGAGGAAAAGCGGACATGTCTGCTTCCTGTAATTATAAAAAAATTACAATATGAAAATGCATCACGACTGAATATTTATAAATAAAAATAAATCGTTGATACTTTATTAATTATGTGTCCTATCATTCCAGAATAACTTCCATTCGGTTCAATTTTTAGAAGTGTTTTCGGCATAGGTTGAATAACTTCATACCTACAAAAATTAAAATGTTTTTATATATTTTTTAAATCAATAGTAATTTTTCACTTACATTTTAAATTAAATATATAAGTTTCGTTTAATTTTACTTAAAGTTCAATTTTTTTTTTGAAGAATTTCAAATATATATGAGCAATATGAAGTAATGATTTGTTTATCAGATTCATTCACAGTCATCCATAAAGGTGCCTGAAAATTTAAAACAACATTAAAACTGCAATTCAATAATAAATTACAAAAATAATTTAGAAATAAATAGAGTAGACTTACATCAATTCCTGAAATTTTCCACACGTAGTTCATTTCCATCTTCTTCCTAGAATTAAAAAAATTGCTGTTTTCATTGCATTTGCAAGTTGTAATGAGCAAAACTTCTTTATGTCACAAGAATGATATTAAACTTGATTTTGCATTTAAGAAATTAAAGTAACATTTTTTTCTAAATCAGAAATTTATGCTCGAAATAAGAATTTACAGACTTGTGACAAAATAACAATTTTCGAGCTGCAATTTGAAAACAGTGTACACTATAAATTCATGCTGTTGTATGTCTGTCTGTCCTTATTTATTCTCGAGATTGGAGTAAGACAAACGAATGCTGTAACTAGATGTGGAAACTGTACATGGTCTAGGCCAGGGGTGGCCAACAGTTTTTGCCCCGGGCCGAAGTGGAAAAAAAAACTTTTTCCATGGGCCGAACCAAAGGCTGCCCTAGGAAGATTTTGAGGTAGTGCGAGATCTCATTGCGGTGTCATCCCGTAGAGACTGATTTGTACATAAAGATTACAAATACATTTTTCACATTATCATGCTTTATCAACACTCTATGCCAGGGGTCGCCAAAGTGGTCTATATCGACTCCTTGGGGTCGATATAACTATTAACGTGTTTCTTATACGGGAAATCTTTTCTTAGGAGATAGGCTACGGGATACGATATAAGTTGATCTTCACTCGTTATTATTTTTCCACTCAGATCCTTCCTGGTGACGCTGTTTATGTATTCAATGTTTTCTATATAAGCAAAACGACCGTTACTTATTTTCTCGGCAGTATCCTCTACATTCAAATAATTGCTTTTTTGATTGATGTGATCGCCTAATGTTTTCGAAATTGCAGATTTATTTCCCTACAAAATATAACAAATCAATTAACATTTACTGGGTGAATCCATATCATTACTATCAGTGTGATATTTATGCATATGCAAGAGAATGGCAAGGCAGACTTGGAGAATTTCGCCCACAAATTTAATTTCAGACGGTCTTGAGACAGAGTCTGAAATTAATTTGTGGGCGAAATTTCAGAAATGATTTGAGAAATGTTAGATATTATTGTGTTAATTGATTCTTTAATCTGTTGGCTACTTTATGGTATAAGTCGTTAAAAATCAGTATCCGATATTTCCCTGAGGCGTGAGGTAACATTGGACGATACTTGGAAATATGATGGACATGTAGGAAGTAGCTAAAATTTGTCAGTCAAAGGAAATAAAATTGAAATATAACTTATGCGCACATATTGAAATACAATAGATTCATCAATTTATAAAAAAAATTAATATGTAAAATATATCAAAATAGACTTTTAGGTTTTCATGGTCAAGAACCTGAGAGTTCAGAAATAGAATTAGCTTGAATGACAACTTTTTCTGGTACCATACAGGATTGAAGACAGAATTGAAGGATTGAAGACAGAAGACTATTTAAATTTAAGTTTTTCCTTTAATTTTTAATATTTTTTTATTTTTCTAGTGGCATGAGGTCGTCACAATTTTTTCATGCTTATTTTATATGTATGGAATATTATTGTGTATTAAATGTAAATATATATTTTTATTGCAGTGTTTTTCAATATTTTTCTTATCGAGGAAAAGTTATAATTTTACGAGGACCAGTAGTTATCTGCAACTACGAATCATGCTTATTTGTTAAACTTATTTATGCTTATCTACAATTACTGTAGTAATAATGTACTATACTGTACAATACATGATAATCTATAAACCACACTACTTTTTCTACTATATTTCTTTTTCTACTATATTTCTATTTATAATTTCTTTATTTAGTACAAGGTTTTTTACCCTTTATACGGAGAAGAAAGTAAACAAAATACAAAAAAATATATTATCAAATATAAACAAACAACAATACACAAAATAGTCAATGTATATCATTCGTAAATACAATAACCATAACATAAAATATCCATTGCATAAATAAAATAACCAATGAATAATTATAATTTCCAATGCATAAATACAATTACTAATCCATCAAAGTAATGCCTAATACAGTGTTTTTCAACCTTTTTCATTCAGTGGCACACCTAATTGAAAAATAACAAATCGTGACACCCTTGACCAGCGGCGGATCTAGAATCTGAATAAGGGGGTGGGGCTAATGAGCCAGATGAATTTATTGCGAAAACGAATATTATGCGCAACGCAAAAGTGTTTCTGCGAGGTTTGCCGATTGGGGAAAAAGTGTCGCGACAGTCGAGCGGTCAGCACTGTCGTGTGGGAGTGGAAAAACTTACTGAGACAGGTCTTCCATCGCAAACTATTTATTAAATATAAAAATTTCTCTTACAACTACTGTTTTCTTCGGCGTAAGGCCTATCCACAGAGTGAATCAGTTCAAAGTTCAATCTTACGATCTTCTCTTCTTTTGGCGAAGATGATGAGGAAAACGTAGGCTCCGGGGTGCACAGCACAACTTGAAGGGGTGATTCTCACAGTAGATTATCCTTGGCGAAAGTTGCTGGGACAGGATGGCGAAAACTTCTTTCGGGACGACGAACCGCAGGAAAAATCCAGAAGCGGAGCACACCGAACTTAGTAACCAAGAACGTCACATCCTATTTTTGCGCGATTTTTATAAGTTTTTCTGAGTCCCAGATCGAACATTCCGATAGGTCGATGTCGATCTGCCCCCGTTCTCTAATTGGTCTCCCTCCTCGTTACAAATTGTAACGGGATC